GCCTTGGGCCACTTTAAGCCATCTTGGCCGCGGTAATAGTTGGATAGGGCCCGCACATATAAGTAGGAAGGATCTTCCTCGTGTTTCTGAGCAAACCGCAAAAGGGCACGGTTGACCTCCTCAGGTTGCTGCGGGGCTCGGGCCTCGCCAAAAATGAATGCAACAGGGGCGCAATCAGGAAAAGATCGCGCTGTCGACGCCAGACACCGTTCCGCCGCTGCAAAGTCTCGCTCCTCCAAAAACCGCTGTCCATTTTCGATCGCCTTACTTCCCTCCTCTGCATTCAGGTAAAGTTCGTGTACGTGTCTTATTTCTTCTTTGGATGCGCCAGAACTCTTTAGCGCCTCGACGCCTTCATTTAGTCTCTGCGCAACCTCCTGAAAACGCCCTAAGTTGCAGTAAGCATTGTGAAGACGTGAGTAGGCCTTGGAAAACGTTTTGTCGACCGTGATTGCTGCCTCAGCGTCTTGGGCAGCAGCCTCAAAGTCGCCCTTTTTAAAGTGGGCCGCACTACGATTCGAAAATAGAGCCGGCTCTTGTGGATTGACCTCAATTGCCTGAGTGTAACGCAGAACGGCAGTGTCGAAGCTGCCGGCCTTAAACGCCTTATTTCCCTCCTCCCGGAGTTCCGTCCACTGCGCAGAATTCTCACCCGTAATGCCGCCCATCGGGAGTATGAGAATGATGAAAATGAAATGGGGAAAAGAAACGGGGTGAATATTTCGTCTCCCTCAGTTTTAATCCCTTCTAATTTTAATCTTTTAAACCTTACTTAATATTAAGTCCTTTTTTCCCCCTACTGTGGTAAACAAGCTCCTGAAGCCCCGGCTATTTCCTCGCGGCAAAACTCATACAAAGAAGACAAATACGCACATTGCATTATCAATTAGAAAGAAAAACGCGGAATTAAAAATAGCAAAACAGATGTATGCATGCACAGGGAAGAACTCAACGGTGCAGCTGCTGTTGCAATGACCATCACCACATCCTTTTTATCCTCCTCTTTATCTCATACAATAAATTCAACCGTTACATTCCATGCATTATTTTATGAGAAATTGAAATAATAATCGTAATTCGTGTATATATAGAAACATACGTCAATGCACACAAAATTATACGCATATGCATATACGCATTTAGTATTAAACGCGTAACTAGGAGCAGATGGATCCAACAACTAACCTACAAATAAGGCGCAACCTCCCAAAGACGCGGAAGCCCTTCAATGATAGTTCTAGCGTATTGTTATTATTGTTGCTTTTGCTTTTACTCCTCTTTATCTTCAGGTGGGCCTGCTCTCTGGCGCCTTTTTACTCGCTTTGGGAGCTCTGAGATGTGCCAAGGAAAGAAATTTTTCACTCAAAAATTCAGGTTGACCGGGGCCGGGAAAAAACGAATGGGGTATCCCAAATTTCGGTTTGTTTGTTGTTGTTGTTGTTTTTTGGGTTGCTTGAAGGCTTCCTCGCCCCCAGCACACGTTTAGCGCATCCAATATGATACATTGTATTCTTTCCAGCGCCAGATTCTCCGTCAGATTCAAACACCGAGACCTTTTAACCCCCAGCGCCCTTCAATGGCCCTACAAATTACAATCACCTCAATTTTATTTTAATTCCAACAAAAAAATTATACGAAGAATACGCAAAAACCGTCATGCAGACGTCAGCAATAAACATGTTGCTGGGTGTCACCATGCATCATCATGTTAAACTCTTAAAAAACAGATCGTGTAAAATTTCTTTTCTCGCCCGAACAACCCCGTCACGACACAAGTCATTGACGGCAAATGATATCCCAAATGTCATTGCACCTATTGACCAGCCAAAAGGCATTTTCCTGTACAGGGAAGCATAGAATCCAGGTTTCATAAATATATTTTTAAGATCGCCCAACCCCGAGTACACAATTTGTTCAACCTGCCGCTGTCGCTTGGCAACATTAAGAGGATACGTCGTGATTTGGCCAGCGACCCCGGCACACATGCCGGCAAGAAGCCGCTGACCAAAGGTTTCACATTCATATCTCTCCTTGATGAATTCATATGTGGCAAACCCTATGCCTGCAAGAGGACAAATGCCCATGATGGCGAGAGAGCAGCCCTCCCAAAGAGAGTGTAAGCCCTTCTTTCGTGCCATATCACGGAGTATCCAGTAGTATGATTGAGATACCGGCGAAAGTCTATTTGTAGCAGCATTGGCACGCACAAGATCAAGTGGATATAAGATGGCTGTTGCCAATGAAGCCGCCGATCCACCCGCAAGAAAATTAGTAGCAGGTGAAGGCGTTACAGAGTACAAAAGTCGTTCCGCGGCTGTTTGAAAGACATCAAAGAAACAATAGGTAAGCGCCCCGTAGGGAATGACTCTCATCATAGTTATTCCACTGCTCTGCCACATATTTGGTTTCTCAGCTAACATATCACCTATCAACGCAAAACCCTGACGTCCAAACGTATGAGGATCAGATGCGCTCATACTCACTTGATAAATAATTTTTAAGTGATCAAATGGTATAGTCCAAAATTTTGCCACTCCAGCTGCTACCCCACCACATACAAGTGCCTCAGGAAGTGTCACCAAGTACTCTCGATGAGAATACTGAGCAGCTTTCTCTTCATACTCTCGAATACGCCGCCTAACAATATCATTGACGGTGAAGGCCGTGGCGACGGCAATCGGCCCCTTGATCCAATTCATCTGAAGTCCCTTATACCAGCCTTGAAAAACACCTTCTTCCTTATAAATTGTCCAGAGGGCGTGAAAAACGCCACGGTAACGACCAGGAGTCACCTGCATACGCCGACGCACAATGTCCAAAGGGTAAGTGGCGGACTGAGCAATAAGACCAGCCAATCCGCCGGCCACCATTCGCTCATGTACAGGGATTGCCTTTTCCGAGGGAAGATTATGCCATTGAACAATATGGCTTTTCAGCGTTTCAAAAACAGCAAAACTGCATCCAGCATACGGCATAATGCCCACAAGTGTAGGCACCAAACCAGAGTAGAGCGACTTCCAGCCATGTGATCCCACTAGCATTTTGTATGCAATGCGATAGCTTGGAGGCTTTTCACCAGTGGAGCTGTGAAATGCTAGTCGAGCCCGCATCAAATCCAAGGGGTAAGTGAAGGCAGTTGCTGTCGCCCCAGCAAGAGATCCGCCTAAGAAACGTGCTGTTACGGCTAAACGCTCATCTTCGGCTCCGTCTACTCCTTGAGAGTTTGCCAAATAGAGAAATCCACTGTGGTAGTAGTCAAAAGAAGCAAAGGTAATGGCAGCATAAGGCACCACACGCATCATCATCGCACCATTTCCAATCCAGAGTCCCAAAAGACCGTGATTATGCACCGTCTCCACACCCAAGACCACTGCATTACGAAGTGTAAACCGTCTCCCTGGATCAACCTGAAAAATAATTTTCACCCTATCCCCTGGCGCTATCACCGTTTTGCTAACTGCACCTGCAATACCACCTGCTGCGAATCCCTCCAAAAAACGCACAACACTTTGAGCAAAGCGATGGGTACGGCTGGGCTGTTCAGGAACATCCGGAACAGTACACTCAATAAAGCGCTCAAAGCCAAATTGCTCCTCGCTCAACAAGGTAAAACGCTTCTGATTTTCCTCACAAAAAAGCACCCATTGCGCTTCGGTCAAGCCTCCAATTTTACCCTGGTCAAAACGTTCCACAAGATCGTAAATCCGCTCAACTGGAAGTGGAATTAACGGTGTTATTTGCCTCACAATCACATCAGTCGGAATAAACGGAGCTGCTGCTCCCGTAGTGGTATTAAACGGCGCTTCATCTGTATCTTTACCCACCATCGAATGCAAACTAGAGTAAAGAAGAAAAAAAAAAAAAAACAAGAAGCCGTCAGATAAATCCTCTTAACACACACAGAAATAAATTCATCAAGGCCACCGAATTCAGCGAGGCACTTCCACAAGAAGAAAAATATGAGAAAATAAATAACAATAAAAATATTTCCTTGGTTTTTCTATTTTCCTCCCCCTTTCTTGTTTTTATTATTATTATTTTACATGCCCCTCACAGCCTCTTGTATGAGAACAGAAATGCTCAAGGAACACCGCAAAAATGAGCTAAGCCCTTTTTTGAGTCTGAACAAGAAGAACTATATGTCGCAGGCGGATCAACACAAAAAAAAAAAAAAGTAAAGAGTAAAAATAAATTCAGACAGAAGGCCAGAAGAGTCCCGTAAAACGAATTCTGGTTCAGCTTTCACCATTAAATTCAACATTTCGTGCACCAATCACAGAAACACATACAGACAGAAATAAAAACATTCTGCACTATCAACACAAACAACAAGAAGAAACAGAAAAACCTCTCTGTTCCATGATATTACAAATGCACCAGTAAAACCGAAAGACAAAACAGAAAAAAATCAGGAAATCCAAACCCTGCCCGAAATCACCTTTTTCCTTCGTGTAGAAGCCCCAAAACAAGATAGGCCTTTCTTTGTTATTGTTGTTTTTACTTTTTACTGTGAATGCTCATAAACATCAAATGCCGTTCATGACATCATTTCATCTATTTAACATCCAGGTTGTCCCGTCTCCGCAAATAAGAATCAATTTCACCCTTGATAGCACGGAACTCCTCCTCATATTCTCGGCCTTCAAGCTGATACAGACGCAATTTTTCCTCAAGCTCTGCATAAAGTACTTTCACACGAGTCAATTCTCGACGTAATACTTTGAGTTCAATCTGATTGGAACGCTCTTCTTCAGAAAACCTAACATTACTGGAAATACTACGCTTCCAACAGCTGTGCATATTTTCTATATAAGCACCAACCTCGCGCAATGAAGAAGTAGTTGAAAGACCCTGAGCCAAAGGTTTTTGAGAATCTAAACGAGGAAGAGTCTCTCGTCGTATCAACCGTGGAAATTCGCATTCCTCAATTTTTCTCCAATACATAACATCTGAATGATCGGTATCCGTAGATGTCTCGGTAATGAAGGCCTGCTGACCAACAGACGTTTTTTCTCGAGTCATGGGAATTCTTTTTCGTGGTACAAATGGAGCTAAAATATGTTGAGTAACAGGATCATAAAACTTTGTGCGCCAATCCATCTGAGGAAATCGAGACATTAATCCACCAATCAACCGTGTTGTAGTCAAAAGAATCCCTTCATCCTCACTATTAAACGGAACGCTTCCACCGAATTTGTTCTCTACATGCACTACAGCTACAGCCATCTGCGAATTTTGGTCAGAAGCAAAAACTGGAAATATAAGAAGGCTTGAATTGGTCTTTGAACCATCTGAAATCTGCTGATTCAAAGCAATTCCACTAGCCAAAACGTCTGCATCCAAGGATCCCAAGCATTTGTGACGAACCAACTCAGGAGGAAAGGTAAGACGAGCGGCGCAGTTAGCAATAGATACCATTTCATCGTCTTTACGAACAAAAATATGGGCGGAAGTGGCCTTCAATAATCTCGTTGAACCTTCCAAAATGTTATACAATGAGCACGCCAAACAACGCGAGACCTCTTTTGAGACGGCTAACTGTCCCTGAGGAGGTTTTTCTCTTGGAACTGGAAAGACACTGATACTAGAGGGCTTAGTAACTGTTGGTTTTTGTGGCAAGGTCAAAGAACGAGATATCAATGATTTTCTCACTTGTGGAGTTAATTCAGGTAAACCATCGGCCCGCTTAAAACGGTCCTTTTCACCAGAATTTTTGCTTAAGTTCGGTTTCCTCCCAGCACATGCAGTCTCTATGATGTCCACCGCCTGGCGTATTCGAGCAGTCAAAGGCACTACTTGATCAGGACGCAGCCCTTGTTCCGTATTTGAAAGTGTATCAAGAATAACAGCTACAAGCCTTAGCTCATCTAATTGCTCATCAACCTCATTCATCCTATTTCCAATAATAAATATGAGGCCTCCCTTGGGCCTCTTTTTTTTTTTTTTTGCTCCTGTTTTGCCTTTCAAACTAATAAAAGAGAAGAGCATACAGATAAATAAAATTAAAGCAAACTGAATTCCAAAACAAAAATATATATATATATATTTTATTATATTTACATAAAAGCAAATAAATAAGCATAATGCATCAAAATCATGGTGAAAGTAGAAAAAAAAAGTGCCTATTTATACACCGCGGTGGCTTTAATCCATGCCAACCAAAAAGCTGGTATAAAATTGCGCTAAAATACGCGTGTTCAATGCTCATTAAATAACTGAAAGGAGATACAAAAGGTTTTCTTTCTCCTCTCCCTCCAAAAACTACGCACATGCAGAAATACAGGCATTTAATGGAAAGCAATTTTAATAAAAACCTGCACATGCCAAAAAATTCAACGCTATAACTAACAGAAAAAAGCTGGTTTGAATTGAGCCACAATAATTGTCATATTATCGCAACCAACCCCTTGTACCCTGGGGGCCAAACACTTATCCAACACCATTTCGCACACCAAACCAATATCACTATCAGTTTCCTTAAGACCCTTCTTAACAAGATCACAACATTCCTCATTAGAAAGAACATCCCACACTCCATCACAAGCAATAACTATAAATGCATCTTCGGAGGTCCATTTCACTCTATTTACCTCTGGTAAAGCTGTAACCATTTGTTCCTCCCAGGAAACTTTTGGATTTTCTTTGAAATCAAAGTCACCTATTGCCCGGCTAAGTGCAAGTGTACCATTGACCCGTTGACATTGAACAGTCCCACCAGCCTTTTCGACTCTCGCCTTCTCTGTAGCTACAGAAGGCTTGTGATCAGTACTCAAGGGAATAGCTCTATTTCCCCGAAATAATACCGCTCGACTATCACCGGCATTTGCACATACGATTTCACCCTGTGCCAGCAGTACACAAATTATCGCCGTCCCTCCTTCTGAACGAAGTGCAGGCATTTCAGAAAGCTTCCGGTCTAGAGATATAAAAGCCTTTAAACGCCTCATCGTATACGCCCTCGCGGTACTCTGGTGTGGCCATAAGTTCATCAAGAATATGTCCACTGCAATACTTCGCAATTTTGTACCCATTATGACCATCAAAGACTCCAAAAAACGCATGGTGTTTATCACCTTCAAGATTTAGCTGAGCCACGTGGGCATCCTCCATTGATTTACGCCATCCTTGCATTCCACAACATCCGACACGCAAATGTGAGGTTTCAAAGGTACTTGTATGCTTCTCCGTAACAGGTTTAGACAGTGTCTCGCCCATTTTGCTAATCCAATATAAAACTTTAAAAAATTCAAAAAATATATATAGAAAAAAAAAAAAAGAAGATATGTATAAGAACAAAACAAAAAGGTTAGCTTTGAAATAAACAAAAACACCAACAATTTTGAGCAAAAAAAAAAAAAAAGGAAACCACCTCCAAAAGCAATTTTTGAGTCACAAAATACATAACTCGGAGTCAAGCAATAGATGTATGATCAATCTTCATCTGAAAAGTCTTGCAATTCATGAAATCTGCCAAGAGCTCCTGAAAGCGTCGTTGACTGACCTCTGTCAGTTAACTTAGATGTAAAACCCACAAATACAGCTTGATCCTCTCTAGACACAGTAACAAGAGGTTGTTGTTGGATAGCAGCATTATCAGGAGCTGGTTCAAAATACTGCCGGTCCTTTGCATGGGATAGCTCCACATAAAAAGGCGCCGTCTCGTGGCGAATACTGTCCGTGACAGTAACCCCATTAAAAAACGGATGCCGCAAAATTTCTTCAAATCCATAGCGTTCTTCTGGATCAGCAATTAAATGAGAAATTAAATCAACAGCTTCTGATGATAGTGCATCGGGCTCCTGAGGAAAGCCCAAGTACTCTTTGAAACAAACTATTTTTTTGGCTGTCACATTTTTACTGTCACTAAAAAATGGTGGATAACCACACAGCATTTCATACAGAATAATTCCAACACTCCACCAATCACAAGAATAGGTATACCCACGCCCAAGTAAAACTTCAGGAGCAATATACGCGGGTGAACCAACTGTAGAAAAGAATATGGCCCTCCTTTCCTTTCGATCCTTAAAGCGAGATTGTGTATCTGCGCCATCATCAAATATTTCATCAAGATTTGAGCGGCAAAGAGTTTCCAACCACTCTGGGTCCCTTTTTGATAAACCAAAATCTGCCAGCTTTATATGACCATCC